TTGAACACAGTCTCTCTAGAGGATCGAGGAAGAGTAGCTGGTGGAGGAGCTACAAAAATAGGAGCAGATGTCGGAGCAGGGTATGAGGTTGTTTTGGCTGGTGGAGCATGGAAAATTTGGGAGGAAGTGCCAGGGTGATTGTGGTAAGGGGTAAAGCCCGGTGCATGTTGAGGGGAAAGGTCGACGGTAGTGGGAACCTAGGCTTGTGATAGTGGCGGGATAGTTGAAGGGTTTTTAGTGTAATTAGTGGGGAATGAAGGTAGAGGATGCCCCCTGACCCAAGACTAATGCGTTTTTGACATTTGTTGTTTCAACCTTCTGACCTCCTCTTTCAGTTCCGATTCTGATTCTACAATCTCCCTAGGTGGGTCTACAACTCTAGTGTCCAAGTCTTTACTAACCATGTCTACCTTGCTCTTTCGACCTTGTGTTGTATGGACGAATCGCCAAAGTGCTACAAACTAACCACCCTCTATTATGATAACAATGAAAGTAACAAAGGGGAGCAAAACAAAGCCAACATGTTAGCATTAGGACATTGATCAGATAGAAATATCACATTGCACGCAATGCCCCTAGCAACAATTAATGGTTCTAGAATGGCTTCGAGGGTCAAAACATCATTTGGCATCATCCCAATTTCACTCTTCTTGTCCCATTTCCTTTTTCATCTTCCTTTCTAACATTGCTTGGTTTTTCATTTCTTTTCCCCTCTTTTCTTTCTGATTATCGCTCTTTTCTTTCCTCTCATTTCTCATGTCCCGCAATTTCATTCTCTCTTTTTTTCTTTTCTTTTCCGTCTTCTTGATTTTTTTTTTATTTTTTTTTTGAAAAAAGATTCGATCGAACCTTATGTAGGTTGCCTACGTATCATGTCCCTCATGAATCAGATCAAGCGTAGTTCTGGAAAAAGTAATGGATAAATTAAAAATAATTATCTTTTTGGATTTTCATTTATAACTTTTTTTTTTTGGTTTTTCATATACAAAATGGGAAGTAATATAACAAAAGACTCAATATTACTGTACAAGACTAGAAAGTAAAAGACAACACGAATGACAGACTCAAAACATAAAAGTATCTTTAAGCAACTTATGAATGTAGTGGTCTTGGGGTATTTGTCATGCACGAGCTCTAGTACACTGATCCATACCTGAATGAGAAAAATAAGACCAAATAAATCAGTGACTCAAGACACTATGCGACACCACAATACCTCTGTTGGACACATGCAAGACATAATTGGGCTATTTTTGAAAATTAACCTATGTAGCCAAAATGTGGCTATTAGCGTAAACTCAACAAAGATGACCTCAAAGACATGGACATACCTCACTAAGGCTTATATGGATTCGAACTCCCAATAATCATGGCCCAAAATTAATTTGCAGAAATTACCCATTTTGCAAAAACGACCGATATGGCCCAAAGTATCTAAAGATACAAACTCAAAAAGGAAGGATCATAAAGTAATATGACACCTAGTTGTGGACTCAAAATCTTAAGACATGGGTAATTAAATCACTTTTGCGAAAATGACCCCATTTTGCAAGAATGGCCAAAAGTGGCTAAACATGCAAAATTTGGCTAAGACCCCGCAAAGCCAAGAACCTAAGGATTACTAGGAAGACCGGACCCTATATGGGCTGCCTACGTATCCCGCCCCGGAAGACGAGAATCAGGTATGCGTAGTTCGGAAAGATTAGATATGGGAGAAAGCTTTGGAAATTTTTTTTTTTTTTTGTCTTTTTGAAAAATGATGGAAAATGTAAAATCTTTTTGAATTTTTCTTTCTCTTTTTTTTTTGAATTTTTGAAAAATAATGGAAAAGTGTAAAATCTTTTTTTTTTGGATTTTTTTCATTTTTTTGTATTTTTTTGTTGGCTTTTCTTGAAAAAGTTGTAAAAGAAAAATATAATTGGACCCTACTTGCTACATTTTTCACCCTTCTTTTCCAAACATCGGTCCGCCAAATGACCTTTTTACCCTCAAATATGCAACATGTATCACATAGGGATGATTGAATGTCACTTTTGAGCCACGGGCCCATTTTTGACAAAATTTGGATAGGCTTCCTACAACGGGACACGATGCCTGGGACCGAACCCTGCTAGGTTTAAATGATATGATGCACATAAGCATGACCTAAAGGCTGACCTACGGTTGGGGCTCACTAGACAAGGCAATTCGGGGCGGCACGTGGTCGATGGCGGCTGCTCTAGTTGTCCGCTCACTCCACGCTCCCACGTCACCCCCTAAAGACACGAGTGACTCACAAAAAGGTTGTGTACGCTCAAACGTACTCCGGAAGACTTGTTGCAGAAAGAAGACTCGGGGTTATGCAAATGATGACAGTTTATAAAGTAGTAACACATAAAGGAAAAACTGTAAACAAATAAGCAATTAGCAAATAATAAAACGACATAAACAAAATAAAAAGCAAACAAAACACATAAAAACCTCAACTGAATATCCTAAAAACTAATAAGATCAGGTACTAGCTCGAACCTGCAATTCCCCAGCAGAGTCGCCAGAGATGTCACACCCCCTCTTTTACAAACTTCACTAAACCCTCTTAAATTAATAATAAAAGATTAGTAAAGCTTAAACAAGGGTTTTCCGATTTGAACATGACAAAAAATTGTATTCAAAAGGAAAATAACTCAGAGTCGCCACCTAACATTGGTTTCGATGTACCAGATCACCGTTTTTTAAAAATAATCTTTCCTTTTAAAACATTTTAGACTCTAAAACCAAGTCTGCACCAGAAATTCGGATAAGGGAGTTCATTTGACTCTGGATGAAGGTGTTAGGCACTCCCCAAGTCCCGTAAAATTCACGGTTGCGTACTCAATCTAGTTGGCTTTTAAAATATTCAATTTAAGGTAAAAACACACAAAAAGGAAAGTAAACACAAAGAGGCTCGAGGTCGTCATCACCTAATAAAAGAAAATAGAAAACAAGAATAAAACACTACAAGTTCTACTTTTGACCTCCCATTACAAAGTTCTACGGGCATTCCCCGGAATAAAATATATACAAATCCTTCGGGGCATTCCCCGGACAAATTTAACTAAGGGAACGACCTCTCGCCTCAAAAATAACAAAAATCCTAAGGCTTGCCTACCCGAGCGTGATCGGCCTAAGCATGCTCCCTCCGATAAAATTAATAAAGCAGAACTAAATACAAAGTTCATTAAGTCCAACGTTCAATTTAGAAGCAAGACCCAAATATAATTTAAAGAGATTAACCCCTCACGGCCGATGTCATCATGCTTTGTCACATTCAACTTATTACCAGTCCAAAACAAGAACTATCAAACAAACAAAATCAATTCAACCTCCTCTTAATCGTCCAACAACCCATTTCTTTAAGTCTTTTGTCTAAACTCATTCACTTGCTAAATCAATTTATCTTTCTTTTTCACGGGTCAACATAGATTTGTAAAACAAGGGTTCAACAATGTACAATTATGTATTCAATCAAAAATTAATCAACTCAAATAGATCTCTAAATAAAAGCGCAAGTCATTCACATAATAACGATTAAAAAATGTTAGGCAAATAGACATATAGATCAATCACATAAGACAGTTTCAGTTAAATAAAAAAATAAGAGAAGAGAGTGGACCTCAAGTGGAAGCCAAAATGCTCTTTGAAATTTGATTAATAATGAACTGATTTCCTTTTATTATAGCAAAATTAAAATCTGAACTTCAAATTGGACTGAGAAATAGACATCCCGAACCGAAGACCCTGTTGATGAAACGTCGACGATCATCACCTTTGAAACTCTAATTTATTTATTTTTAGATTATTTTTTTGCAGGAGAAAATAAATTAAAATGGAGGCCTATAAAGAAAACATAGGATATTTTGTGGTTTCCGCGGAGTTTGATGGAGCTGTGATGTGGTGGCAGTAAATCCGGCACCGGCAGAGCAATAGCACGGTGGTGGTGTTATGGCTAGTCTTGGATGAAGGAGAAACAATTAAAATGCCGGAAAAACTGAATTTACATGGTGTTGTTTGATGGAAGGAATTGATGGCTTCACATGGCTATTTTGGTTTGAGAACGGAAAAAGGTGGCTAACTCTAGTGAGGATGAGAGGCTGCGGCATTTAGGATTTTTTTCTCGTCTACCTTCTCTGTCTGATCCTCTCACTCTAGTTTTTTTTGTTCCACCCGCGAAGTTTCTGGACTAAAAGGGATTAAAGGCCTGAAGGGTTCTTGGAAAGAAGCCCAAAAATGTGTGGTCCCCCCTCTATTTTAAAATGTCAAATATACTTTAGTACCCCCTTTCTTTTTTATCTTTCCTCCCAAAAACAAAATATTAGTAGTATTCATGAGTTCGTGAGACTTTGAGTGAATAAAAATAAATATAAAAATCAAAAAGAAGGAAAGAAACGTGCATGTATGTGAAGTGACCGTGCGTATGAGATAAAGTTTGTTATAAAATGAATGATAAAGAATATTTGGGCATGTGACAATCTTTGATCGGCTCTTCTTTTTCCTTTTTTCTGTTTTTTCTGGAAAATATAAAATAAAAATATTAATTAACTATTTCTAGTCTAACTCTATATATGTAAAACCAAATAACTAAACTGAAATAAAAAGACACTAACGAAAGATTGTTAACTTATTTATTGAAAACCCAAGTTAAAGTAGAGACATATTGTTTTGTAAATTTATTTTGTGACGAAAACAAGACTAATATCTAAATACGTAAATATTTTTGTGATTTTTAAATTTTAAGATAAAATAAAACAAAAAGAGTTAAAACTAGTTAAAATAGCGACATTAGACTTAAACTAAATATTTAAAAGCTAAAATGTGTAAAATCTCGGGGAGGATCAAAAATTACATGTCTACAAGCAGTACTGCAATTCTTTGAAATAGGGAAACTGCTAAGGGAGATCAACTGTATCACTATCACGCTCATACCTAAGGTGGAAAATCCAAATTATGTAAAAGAATTCAGATCTATTGCTTGATGCTCTACAATGTACAAAATTATAGCTAAGATACTTACTGCTAGGCTGAAAATGGTTGTTGATTGCCTGGTGGGGCCTTCCCGGTCTGCATTTATAGAAGGGAGAAACATTTTGGACAATGTAATACTAGCTCATGAACTTATCAAAGGATATACACAGAAAGCGGTATCACCAAGATGCATGATTAAGGTGGCCATTAGAAAGGCCTATGATTCTGTTGAATGGAGCTTCTTGAGTTATCTTATGATGGAACTTGAGATTCCATATAAAATGGTAATCTCATTATGGAATGTGTAAGCACGGTTACTTATGCTCTACTGATTAATGGAGGCTTAACACCTAGGTTTCAAGCAAGAAAAGGGTTGAGGCAGGGGGACCCCATGTCACCTTACCTATTTATATTGGTGATGGAATATTTGACTAGATCTTTGAAACAGCTTAAATCAAATCCAGACTTCAACTATTATCCTAAATGTTCAAAGTTGGGAGTGGTACATATTTGCTTTGTTGACGACTTGTAGATGTGTTGCCGAGCAGACAAGGTGTCTATTAATCTCATGATGAAACAATTTGAACATTTTTCTGCTGCCTCAGGATTGCAAGCAAACATGGAGAAAAGCTCATTGTATGTAGCAGGTGTATCGACTCAATACAAGGATGAAATACTGAAGGAATTGCATTTCACCACTGGAGCCCTACCATTCAAATATTTAAGAGTTCTGTTGTCCTCAAAGAAGCTCACTGTCAGTTAGTGTATGCTATTGGTGGACAACATTATAGAGAGAGTGAGATGGTGAACGGCTAGATTCTTATCCTATGCAAGATGAGTTCAACTAATTAGAAGTGTGTTGTTTGAAATGCAAACTTATTGGACACAAGTATTTCTTCTCCCAAAGAAGGTGCACGATATGGTTACAGGAATATGCAGGAACTTTCTTTGGCATGGAGGTATTGAAGGTAAGAAAGCTCCTATTGCATGGGACACCATATGTAGGCCAAAAATAGCAGGAGGGCTGAACATCATCAATTTTATTCTATGGAATATAGCAGCAATAGGCAAATTACTATGGGCGTACAAAAGAAAGATAAACTCTGGGTCAGGTGGATCCACAATTATTATATAAAGACAAAGGACTTAGAGAACATGGATACACTTAAACAGGCTAGCTGGTTGGTGAGGAAGATTTTCGAGGCTAGGCTAGCTGGTTGGTGAGGAAGATTTCCGAGGCTAGAAAATGGTTAGTTTCAGGAATCAATAAATTGAATACATATGTTGCTCAAGGGAAATACACTATCAACAAATCATATACCTCAATCCAACCACAGTTTTCAAAGGTTTCATGGAAGGCATTATACATGACACAAGGCATTCTGCCTCGACATCAGTTCACCTTGTGGATGGCAACTCACCAGAGATTAGCAACAGTGGACAGATAAACCAAATGGGGGATACTAGTACCCAATGCTTGTGTCCTTTGTACAACTTATAAAGAAGAGACACATGATCACTTGTTCTTCGAGTGCACATACTCTAAGTTTATATGGCAGAACATGTTAAGCTTGTTTGATATTAACCGACAAATAGGTTGGTGGCAGGAAGAGGTCGATTGGCTGGCTACAAAAACAAGGAGCACGAACATACAATGGAAAATATTATTGGGGAGTGCATTCGCAGCAGCAGTATACCACATATGGATGGAAAAGAACCTCAGAATATTTCAAAATACAAGGAAAGAGAATAGGAATAGAGTTAGAGAAATTGTCTTACAAATTGCACATTACGGGAGAAAAACACTGTAAATGGAGGGCAATACTAGATAGGATAAATAGATATCCATATTAGTATATGGTCTGAGTTCCAGTTGTGGAACTTAAGTGTTACGAAGGATAGGGTATTTTTGTGAGACCCGACTCTGGAGTCCAATGAGTGGGTGGTTGTACATATTTACACTTAGTTAAATAAAAAATTCCAGTTTAATCAAAAAAGAAAAGTAGATTCTAAATTTATACTAAATGGCTATAATTTGATACACTTAGATCATCAACGTAAACAATAAGCAATATGGGACACCTAATATTGTTTGCTTTGGATAACTATTATATTGATTAAAATCTTTAATATATATTTTTACTTTATATTTTATATTCCAACTAAATAAAAAAAATAATTAATTTTTATAAGAAATATTTAAATTCATTTCTCTCTTTTAAATATTATACTACTCGTAAATTGAATATGTATTGTCTTTTTTCGTTATTTGACAGTCAAAAGTACTTTTTGAAAAGAGTGTTCAAACACAATTTGCTTATTAAAGTACTTCTCAAACGAACTGGCCAAACAACACAAACTGTAATTTTTCAAAAAATACTTTTGAGCAAAAACACTCCCCAAAATAAGTAGTTTTGGCAACTTGGCCAAACGGGCTCTACATGTCTTTAATTTCTTTTGCATTAGCAAATAATGGCTAGGACAACCTGCTAATCCAAGATGGTCTGCTTTATCATATGTCATTTTCAGCTGCCCCCATATATTTAACACAGATATACATCTCTCTCAGTCGTTTTGCCACAATAATTCAAATATCACAGCACAGCAGATAATTTTACTTTCATTACTCCCATCACTATTCTCACAAATCAAGTTCCATACATATACTCAAGACTCATGTAGCTAATGGCTGTATATCATATAATCAAGATTCATATCAGTTAAAACAATATAGTTTCTCAATACTATATTGGTATATCTTATTCAACTTTTCACTTTAGACGTGTATTCCCTGCTACCCCATTTACATTCATGGCGTTGATTAGAGGATAAAACAAAACTAGCATGCTTCAGATTTTGTCTCTTGCAACCCGCAAACCATGTTAGCTGGTACTGCAACATCCATCATTTTTGGATATGACAAATTCAAATCTGTTATAAAAGATGCTATCATCAGCAAGTAAATATCAAAGTGAAAGGGAAATAAGGAGAAAAAAGGCGTAACAAATGAAAAGGGAGAGGTAGAATGGCTTACTCACTTTGCATAATGTCTTTGAATGTTTCCTGTAAAAAAAGGTTTCACAAAAATATGAGTACTTAACTAGTTTCAAAAGGAAAAGACAAAGCAGCAACAAATTCTTTCAGCTTATATGTGAAACTTTGTGGAACAGAGTTTTGCAATTACACAAATGAAGTAAACTCGATGCCTCTAAGATAATTCCAAATTTGAACACCAAATAAGAGAGAAAAACAACACTATCATCGAGTGTATTTTCTGAGATTACTATTAGCCACACACATGAAACTTCTCCTATTCAAAGTTTTCAACTACAGATGGATGTAGATTCAGCAACTATTTCCACTTCTCAACTAGAAAAAGCTAAACTTAGCCCAATCTTGAAACTAGGGTAAAAAACTTCTTACTTGGAAGTACTTTATCTTCTTCTTTTCTTTTCTTTTTTTGATAAAGGATAGGAAGTACCTTATCTTTTGATAGACGTGGATTGTATTGCATCTCCTCTCCCACTGTGCTGACCTGAAAATGAAACATACACTTGTAAACAAGCACCAGAAATATGCAAATCAAAAATAGTGAAAAGTAATAGATGTATCCTTACAGTGAAGCCTTTGTAGTCATGAGCAGGATATACCAACGTGTCTTTGGGCAATGTGAAAATCTGCTCTCAGAAACCGATGATGAATCAGAAAGAAAAGGTACAAAATAAAAAGAAGAGAACATTAAGCAACATAATACTTTTTTTTTCAAGTTACAAAAACATAATAGTTTCATGTCCTTGCCTGTGAATGAACTGAATCATACAATTTGTCTGAACTTCCACCCTGTCATAAAGTAAGAAGAAAGTGCCAATATTAAAAGCCAGAAAACTTCATTTTCCAATGTCACCTCTAACCCAAGCAAATAGACTTCTAGGTTTGCAACACAATAATATTCCTAAAACATAAACAAGTTGAGAGGCAAAGTAAGGTAAAACTAGATGCATTAAGACTTAATACTGTTAACAACAACAGTAACAACCACTACATTGATCTCTGTAGAAGACTTAAAACTGTTTGGTCAATTAGATTGTACTTTGGCAATATACAATAAGTAAAAAACACAAATCCTCAATCCCAAGCAAGTTAAATTCAGCTATATGATCCTCCATTTAGGATCATCTTAGTCCCATATTACTTTGGCAATATACATGCAAAATTATTTAGAAAAGAAAAGAGAATGTGGACCTAGTCAATTATAGAGCGAGCGCATTTGCATCTGAAATAATTTGCTCCAATTCAGTATCATGAACTGAAGACATACAAGATAAGAATGATAATATCTTGGATTGTACCTTTCTCTGTCCCAAAAGCTCATGTAAGGATATTATCAAGACCAAATATGACGTTATCAATTAGACATTTGACATTTTCCTATAATTTTCTTCTCCTTTCTTTTCTGGTCAATCCCTGTTGCTAAAGAATATTCTTGATCTATCTAACTGCATTGTTAAATCTTAGCATTTATCAGATAAATAAAATAAGCAGTACACACTATCAAGCTTTCCCTTTACTCAAAGGTCCAGTAAAAGTCAGCAAAAAGCATGGCATACTGCATAAAGACGGTGTACCTGAAAGTCTGTCCTTCCACATCCACGTATCAAAAGGGCATCACCAGTAAAGGCCATCCTTGGATGAGGTTGATTGGATCCATTTCCCGTAATATAGGTTACACAGCCTAGTGTATGACCAGGAGTTGCACGAACCTGCAATGACAGCACTATTGCATTAGAATACATCTCAAACGCTACAGGTAACTTCCAGCTTCAATGCGTGCACCACAACCTAGTTTAGTTGATTGCTTGGCGTTTATTCCCTTTGTACACTTTTACTTGGCCGAAGATGAATAGCACAGAGATGGGGAAAAGGAGACAGTGATAGTTGATACTTAAAGAGGGAGATCCAACAGTTACACGCTGAGATGAGCTAGAAAAGAATGCGGTTGAAGAAAATCCTGGGGAAGGGTTGGGGGGGGGGGGGGGGGGGGGTATTAATTCTATTATTGACATTTCACTAAGCGAAGCATATCAGTGCTTAAAGACCAAACAGGAAACTAATAAGATTATGAACATTTCTCGCAAACAGATTTGTACCAAGAGTTAAAACTGAGCATCCTAATTATTCTACTATGAAATGCAAATGAATGTTAAAGCAATTGTATCTGCCAAGATGCTCGAATTCCATGTTGCACTCACGATGTTAAACATAGACATCCCCAACATCTTCATCAATGAATTGAAATAATTACCCACCAAAATTCCAATTTCCCTTCTCAGAAAGATTTCCAAACACAGCAGTCATACAGTTAGTACATATATCATTGGAGTGAAGGGGAACCACAATTCAGACACTTAATTTTCACAGAATCAACATTTAAAGCACTAATGCTTTTCAAATAAAACTTGCTAACAAACCAAGTGCCTATGAAGTAACTACATAAAAAAAAAAAAAAAAAAAAAAAAGTTCAAGTTCATTCTATATTCAAAATTTGATGGTGACTAGGCCCACAATAAGGAGGAATATTAAAACAATTCATCTTATTTCAAAACAAAATCACTCATTCTCCAAGATTACAGATGACTAAAGCATAATCAGCAAAGGTTAGCGATAGTCGTGAATTTGTGAGTTGTTCAAAAACCTTCTAGGCGCAGCCCCAAAGATAGCACGAGTGTTCAGACATTTGGAACATGGTGATTTTCCTAGCGATGA